ACTAATATTGTATTTATTATACGACTATGTTTTCTCACTACTATATATATATATATATATATATATATATATATTTTATATAGCAACATCACATTTGAATGAAAAATGTAGATAGAAAATTATGATCACTACTTGGAACGTACATTTATGAAATATGTTTTAAACTTTCCAACCATAAGTCCCAATAAAAAGATGGTAAGTGGAAGGTGCAGAAATGCAGTAATTAAAATTAATATGGCTAGTTTTTCATAATCTCCTACCTACAGAGTTCCTGTATTTTAAACAAAACCTCTACCTTTAGAAATAAGTGTTGTAATAACAGAACGTCGAACACTCAAAAAATCCAGATAATAATGTGTGGAAAACTTAAAATATCTTTGGAAATGTAAAAATTGACATCAAGAACTGATTACCATACTTTTGAAAACTGAACCAAAAAACTAATAACTTATGGTATTAAAATGTATTATGATTATTATATCAGTACTGTATTAAGAAAAAGATTTTCCATTGAATAATTCATAAACTTAGTAGGTGCCAATATTATCAGAAAACCTTATACAAGCACATTGTGTGTGTACAGGTAACCATCAAACAACATATAATACCAAACATAAAACCAGTTATTCTTTTCTGTTAAAACCACAGTATTCGACCAATCAACAACTTAAACTTACTTTGTGTAAAAATAAAATAATACACTGAAAGTATTTACCTAGCCAAGAGCAATGAAGTCATTATTCTTAGTTATTTAAACAGGTTTAATTGTACTGTTGTGTATATGCACATCATAAAATTCTTACAAGAATCTATCAGTAAAGCATCCTTTTAACTTCTTATCTCAAAAATCTATAGGGCTCGTTGAGAAATTAATGTATATATTAGTCGAAAACACAAAACAATATAATTCAGACTAGTACGTATACGAAAACAATTATCAAAAATGTGAAATTTTATTCAATTATGATAAAAAACAAAACAAATATTTATAACGATGGTATAACCACTTGCTTCCTTTTTGTATTCTGATTCCACAAATATTAAAATGATGTACAGATCAAAAGATGGTAAGGAAACTTCTTGTGACATTACAAAACCCTTAATTCAAATCATTGTCTTAAATAACATCCCCTATTGATCACACTTAAAAATTTCAAGAAACTACTATGACACTTCCCAACAAGGTACTAATCAGAACTCAATTTGTAAAACTTTTAACAACAAATACTGTCCTAGACATATTTTTCTTTATTACACTTTCAGAACTTCTATTTTGAACTTTCTATCAAGAAATAATGTTAAATGTTTTATTCTTTATTAAATTTTCGCATACAACTGAAGTTGCAAGCTTCAAATTTAAAATAAATATATATTACTTTTTCATCCCTGTTAAACTTCAAGTGAAACTTTGAAACCCAAGTTATAAACATTTCACTATAAAAATATTCTTTATTAAAAACCATTTCAAATGAAACTATTTATACATTTTAAATATTTTTTTGTATTTATTTTAAAGTCTGAAAGAATTAATAGGACAATAACGTTACGAATATAAAATTAACAACTTCAAAATAAGTATTTCTATTGACAGTTATCATTGAAGGTTAAAACCAATCAGAATTAGATGCATTATTAGTATAGAAACTGTTAAAGCAATGCCACACAAAAAAAAACTATTGGAACATGTTTTCAAACATTTTTATTTATTTATTTTTGAAGCAGAGGTAGTGTCATACAAAAAATTCAAACATTCTGAAAAGAGATTGGAATTTTAATATCCTACCATCAGAGTTACATATTTGGTGTTAAAAAATGCAAGATATAATTAATCAAAATGCAGGTTATATGTGATATACTAATCAATCTCTAGCTAATGACAGAAAAGAATAATTAGCATCACTTAATCACCATGAAATAGTTTAGCTAGTAAGTTGTATGGTACATTATTCTGTGATCATAATTAATCTTACTTTCAACTTTCATGAGTAGTTTTTTTTTTCATAATACACTACAGTTACCATGCTTAATTTTGTAAATATATTCCTACTCTGAATTTTTAATTTTAACTGGAGTTCTTGGCTTACTTTGCATTCATAAGTCACTCATATTGCTAAACAATGCTATATTGCAAAAGTAATTAGACCCAGTTATTTTTAAGCAATCAATATTTAACTCAAAACTTATTCTACATCCTACAACAAAGGCTTGGCAAAGGCATTTAAAAACTGAATGCAAAGATAATACCGTAAAGTTGAAAACAGTAAGTTTTGTTTGTTCAAGGACACAGACAGACACTGATTGTGGTGTATGGAACTAGTTTTAGATGTTGTAAGCTAATTACTGTTATATTACAGTGTTAAACACTAATGGGCTTAATATTTGCTGTATTAAAACATGCTAGAATGCTTTTCTTCACATTTTTCTTAGTTAGTCCATTATGGATATAATCACGTAAGATATACGAAAAAAAAGTATTTCAAAATATACTTCAATTTAGTTTATCAAATACTGAGCCTAAATGGTTCCACTGCTCTATCAAATTTCAACATTTAATATTTGACATAGTGCATGTAAAACAGCATCTATATAGTCTTCTGGTTGCCATCAAACTCTAGATCAACCAACTGGTTCTGGAATTGAACAAAAAAAACCTTTTGGGCAGTTAATTGTGGCAGACATAAGACAAATCTGATGTGCTATTTTTACAAATTGTGACTGACTTGAAACCTGTAATGAACTAATTAACAGGAATGTGGAAAAAAAAATATCTGCAATCTCATACAACTGTTACTACATATAACAGGCCTCTAATTTAAATACAAAAAATATTAAACATTTAATTGGCAAAAACCAAGTTATGCACAATTCATTGGTGAAAACTCAAATCAGTCGAATGTTTCTAATAATGATTATATATACCTAACTCAAGGTTCTGCCTATGATATTTCCGATGAAAGAAACATGCTAGCTTAAGGTTATGAGTATATGACTTATCCAACACAAACCGAGTTATAATGATGCTTCACACAGAACATTCAAGCTAGCTACAGATGCAGTAGGTAACAACATATCCCATTCAAATCAAGTTTTATTGATATTGATGTTTTTAATATATATAATTATAAGGTAACTTAAACTTGAATTCATGATGATTTAAACCAAGCCACATTAAATGTGTTTCTGGAGGTACAAGATAGCAAAGTTGTCTTGAGGATGACATATTTTATTCCACACATACTTTGCTAACAGTGTTTTCTGTAAAATGTCCAAGCTACCTTATGTTCATGATAACCAATTTATTTCAAGTTTTAATAATAATATAAATCAAAATGCAAAAGTTTATTGTAAAAACTACGAGCCAGTTTACAGTTTTGTTTATGGTTTTCGTGTTACGAATACAAAATAGTTAAGACTATTTTGATGTTGTCTTATCAAATTTACACAAACTTCTTTTGACAATGCTGTAATGTACAAATGAAAAATTAAATGCTGTATAAAAATGTTAAGAAACAGTGGGAGAGAAAAATAAAATAAAGTTTTCTTGATGATGATGTAAACCAGAAGGTTTTAGGTTTTAACACTGATATAAACCAGTAGAAACAATAAAATAAATGAAGTTCTGCAGATGCTGAAATCAGAAGAAACAAGATTCAGCTATTAGCAATATAAATAAACAAAAATAAGGTCTTGATAATATACGTCAGAATACAAAGCTCTGTTAAGTGTTGACAAAACAACATGATGAATAATATATCAGATAAGGAATTGTTTATGTTGATATAAACCAGCATAAAATTTCACTGGTGATACAAATCAGAAGATACAAAGTTTTGAACCTACTGATAATGCCCCAAAACATAAATGTTCTGTTAATGTTGACATAAATCAGAAGATACAAGGTTCTGAACTTACTAATAATGCCCCAAAACATATATGTTCTGTTAATGTTGACATAAATCAGAAGATACAAAGTTTCGAACCTACTGTAAATGCCCCAAAACATAAATGTTCTGTTAATGTTGACATAAATCAGGTGTAAGGTTTTGCCAACATCATCATAAACCAAAAGAAATACGGTTCTGCTAATACAAGCCAAAGAAAGCATGGTTTTATTGATTTAATTAGAAAACAATCAAATAAAGAACATAGTTTTATGAAAATTAATAATCTACCAGTGGTCTTAAAGTTGTAGGTCTTGAACCTGACCTGGAGCGTGATCTTGATCTATCTCTGCAAATAAAAAATTATACATAAATTAAAATTTTTTAAGAAAAACTATTTTTAAAAAAGAAAAATTATCAATATATTATTTCATCAAAAACATTTTAACAATTTAACATCAATAAAACTAAAACCATAATGTGTATCTTCATATTTCTATTCAAACATTTATTTTAGCAGATTTTAATTTCTTCACCTTACAAAGAGAAGGATTAGAAAAACTTTGCAAGCCAACATTTCACTTTACACTTGATGTATGAAAAAACTTTAAGGCACGCTTTCAATGCATAATGAAATTACAGTGCTTAAAATCTTACAGACTCTTCATACGATTCTTTCTCTTTATAAACTTCTACTCTGCTTATGAGAACTTTCAAAACTATTCTCTTGAAATTAACCTGTTTACTTTCCGGTTGTGTACTTCACTAAATTTATGTTGCTGATTTTTACTACTTGATCTACCGCAAGAACGACTACGACTACGCCTCCTGCTTTGTCGATGACTTCGTCCACCAGGATAGTCAACTGTACGTTGCTTCTGAATTGTAGTACCACGGCTCCGACTTGGAGGACTGGAAGAATCACGATTATCAGGAGACCTATTATAAGATGGTTTTTCAGTATCATCTCTTGTATCCACGTCATGTCGGGAAGGAAAACTTAAGCTGTCTTCACTATCTATGTCTCCGTCATGTTCACGTTGTCTGTGTCTCTTTTCTCGTTCCCTGAAATTACATTAGAAGTTTTTACCAATTATATAAAATTAGGTCAAAACTTTGAGTTTCAAATTATTATTTAATGTTTTAAGATTGCATATTTTAAGAGATTTGAGCTTTCTGAAACAAGAAACAAACTAATATAAATCAATTAGGCTATGATATGTTAAAATACAGAAAAAGAAGCTTAACAGGTAATCTTCTTAGCCACTTGAACCATAAAACATTTAAAAAAAAGCTAAAGAAGTCAATCATACAATGGGAAACAAAAAGTTAAAAAGATGCTCTGTGAAAATTGTAATAGATGAAAATGCACGTGTCATTCACTTAAATAACAAATCTGATGAAACACTATTATAACAACGAATACAGTATTTCAGTATTCAATATTATACTAAACAATAACTTCTATTAAATGAGAAGAAGAATCTGCCGAGTTGAGCAATCTAGACTTACATCTGACTTAATGAAATTACTATTATCTCCAAATATTTTTTTAATTAACTAAGCAATAGCATTTTACCATTAATCTTCAAATGTATTCCATGCTACAATAAAGAATAAGAAAATGACTTTGTAATTACAATAATGTTATAATCACATGGGTAGCAGCACTGAAGAAGTAAAAACACAGTTCATATAGTTTATTTTACACTATTATCTAACAATGGTTATCTTGAAATTGATGCTCAGTTGTTGTCATGGAGTACATGTAACTGACAGTAGTATTGTTGGCTGTTTGATCGAGTATAGGACTTATGGTTCTTTCTTACCTAAATATGTTATAGTTAGAAATACAGTTAAGTTGTATTCAGGTATTACTTTTATATTTTAGTAAATTATGTATTATTTATGTTTTAATATTAATAATTGAAGGTTTTAACATTTTCTTAAATAAACGTCATACTTTGCATCAGTTCTCAAGGTTTACACCATTACACGGTGCATGAAAGTTTTGCCAAAGGGTTGTGCATCTCTGCCAGAAACACTGTTATATGCCTCGAGGGCACTGTTGACTTGTGTTGAGAATAATAATAAGTGGTAAAGGACAAGAAAGGAAAATTAAAAATATGTGAAAAGGAAAATACCTGCCTGAAATTACGAATTTAACCAAAAGAAAATCTTTAAAATTAAAAAGTATGTTTTTGTTCTGTTTTTTCTATTTCCTAATTTTAATCACTTCATTGCATTGTACATTGACGATAATAGCTAGAGTTAGTGATATTGTAGAGAAAATGAAAATAAAATATAAACATTTACCTTAAAAACACTTTTGATATTCATTTAGGAGATTCTAGAGGTTATATAATGAAGAAAAGTATTTTTATACTTAAAATGAAAAATCACCTTGCACTCGATTTATTAAGATTTTGAATGCAAGAAACTACAAAAGATAACCTAATTATCAGTAAAACCATTAATTAAAATAGTCATTCTTTGTGTACAAGATACTTATGATCTTAAATAAAATCTTACCAGTTTCTGAGAGAATGTGTTAAGAAATCTCAGAATTACCGTATGTATTGTTGCACAATTGAAATTCATAATACGATTTTCTGCAACTTACACGAGCTCGTGTCGAAAGGGCTAATCTTAGCCAATCATTGTTTCTCAACCTCAGTTTCTATAATGTGATGTAAATGCCTATATCTAAGCATCAAAAAGTCATAATGAAAGTGTGTAAAGACTTAATAAAGCAATAAAAGTTTAGCTTGGCAACATGATATTAGTAGAAACTATCTTTATGAACAACTTCCACCACAATTACATTCCTGACTTTTTTTTAAAGCTTGCTTTATCATTTTACACTGCTTTTCAGTAATGATGTTGCTGCATGATAAATGTTTTTTCTTTTTATGGAAGATGATGAGGTAGGTATTCTTAGTTAGATATTTTTGTACTCAATGATATCAAATTATCTTTCACTGAAAGGGCTACTGTTTGTTAAGCCATGGTTACATTAGGTCTCATCAGTCTAAGTAACTGCTTGAATGGGTAAAGAAAGTCACTGAAAAACATTTACGACAGTAAAAGAATATAATACAGGTTTAAAACTCAATATATATTAAATGAAACCTTCTGATTAACAATTTAATTAAAAAAGTTGGCTTACTTATAATTTTGGTATGGTAAAATAAAAATACATTTTTATTGTTAACCAGTGATCATAAACACTCTGAAAACTGTGTATGGTGTCTTCGAAATGAAAACAATTAAAAATTTACAGATATATAAAATACAAAACCTTATAGGAAAGTTTTATAAGAATATATAAAAATCAGTAATCCAAATCTAAAACACAGTTAAGCATTTTCAAATGCTTCTTAACCCTATGGGTTTTTCAAATGCTTATATTCATACACAAAATATTCAAATATCATAGTATACTTACTTTTGTCTTAGCCGGATGGCCATTTCCCGAAGCTCCTCAGCCCTGTCCTGAAATATAACAGTTAAAATAACAATGATATCATAAATTTAAGCTATTTATTTCACTAATTAATAATTTCATGCAAGGCTGTCTTTCCATTCAATATTTTATAGCATTTCTCATATTAATCTACAAGGTAGAAACATCATTGATTCTAACATTTATAAAATCATAAGCTCTGAAGATTGTATACAGTGTTAAAAAAACAACCTAATAACTAATATTCTGTTTCATTGTTTTTCTTCCTAATCAGAAATTATACTAACCTGTCTCTCTTGCTCTTGTTTTTCTTGTTTCTCCTGTTGTGCTCGTTTATCAGCTTTATCTGTTATGTAAATTAAAAATATATATATTAACCTTCTAAGGTTACAGCTTTTCTTTAACTCAAATTAAAAGGTCATCAAAATGTAAGCACAATATTTTGAAAGTCACTTAGATTGAACCACTACTATAAGTCATATTTTAGCACATGATTTTATCCACATACCATCCTCAACTCCTTCTTGATTAACATATTTTGTTTATAACCCTTATTTTCTTTTTTTCAGGTGGTTTCTGAAATTTTATCCTGACATCATATTATTTGCAACTTAGATGATATGGTGGACATGCTGAAAGTCAGTACTGGAAAGTATATTCCTGATGTTTTTCTCAATATCCATATATAGGTCTAATATTTCATTAATTTACCGATTTATTTAACTGTGTATATGTTTGTTGTTAAGCACAGAGCAACACAATGAGTTATCTGTGCTCTGCTTACTGTATGGATCAAAACCTCATCTTTAGTACTGTAATCCCTTGGACTTACCACTGAGCAATTGGAGAGCATTGTAACTTACTGCATTATATGCAAGTATGAACTATGCATGTATATGCATAGTGGCATTGAAAAAAAAAGTAATATGCTTAAGAGATAAAAAATACAGCAATAAAGGTACATATAAAAATTTAGTTACTAAATCCTCAGAAAAGAAAGACTTAATGTATATTATATATTAATTCTATACTCATATTTGTTAACAAGCCATTCAACTGAATTATACTTGCCACTATCCAAGTTTGACTACAGTGAAAGTTTATTAAGTTAAACCTTGTGTTTGTTTACATTTTTGATATATTTAAACACCATTACGTGTTTTCACAGTAATTAGTGGGGACAAATAAAATTTGACTTAATTGTTTCAGTACTTGTGGTATTTCCATATTACAACTGTTAAAATTAATTTGAAAAATCCAGGAATAGTTTATTCAATAGAATTTGCTGTTCAAAATTACTATTTAGTATGGATAAATACTGTTATTTTACTTGGTTCTTCCCACCCATCTAATAACCACAAGTGTGATAACCTCATCATCTAGGTACCAAATCTAAGAAATAGATATGTAGATACAATAAACAACAATAGTTGACTAATGGTGGAGGAAAAACACAACAAAAGGAAGAAACTTTACGGATGACAAATATTTGGAAATCCATGTGAAAACATAAACATTGTTAGAAATAAAGTTTTGTTTTTATACATATGTACCTGCACTGTAAAAAAATATACCCAATAACTGCATCATTAACTCTATGAAATATATAAACATGCATTGAAAACACAAAGAGAAGATACTTACACTGCTTATTAAGTAAAGCTTGCATTTTTCGTTTAAGTTTTTCTTGTGGAGTCAGCTTCGACTGCTGTAAACCAAGAAAATACAGTCACAAGGGTAGCACAAATAAGAGCATACATGTTACAAGTTCTGTTACAATGTTTAGCAATGTCTTTAACTGATAAGTCTTTAAATTGTTTATAATATAAAAAAGAGCAGTCAAGACATGCAAATGGATAAATATTTTTACTAGCCTATTAGCATCATACTTAATTTCCAAAATTACATCAGTGGAAATAAAAATGATTCAAAGTAGAATTAAAAATAACATTCCTATTCTACTACATGACAATCTTTACTTTTATAGGCTTAAACATGTTAAATAAATCAACAAAACTATCCCACTTTCAATAGCAAATCAAAATGAACACACTGCTGAAATGTTATGAACTATTTATTGTACCTTTACGCAAGTTAAGCTTCCATGTAACACACATTAAGTCAAATAAATTTCATTGGAAAGTCAAGTCTTACTCTTACACATACACACACATATTCTAACACCATTCGATAGTATGCTTTAAAACTAAAATATCACAGTTTCAATTTCAGGGATCACCACTAAACAAAATAATATGAGATTACTAAGTGCATAACTTAAAATATTACATTTACTAGATACTGATAATGAAACTGATCTATGATAGTTGAAAGCAAAACTGAAACTCAGTAAAACACAATCATCATTACATAAAAGTTTAAACCACCGTGCTAAATCTAGAAAAATCACAATGAAAAAACAACAAAAACTAACACTGAATATTTCAAAATTGATGCTGATAATAATACTAATATATACAGCTTTTAAAGGGATAAAATTTTATATTAATCATCTATTAAGAAACTCCATTTACAAGATAAATTCCAGTGTTCCAGCTAGATGTTTTTTTGACAGAGCAGTCCCACTCTTTACCCATATATATATACACATCTAATACTTAAACTCTAGCCTTTACTTAAAACAAAAGGTTAGTAAACAGAAACTACCATACATTCATATGCTAATCATTCAAGTCCATACAATACCAAGAATATATACAAAAACATTTCTAATTATGAGAATATAAAGATACTGAACTGAACAAGCTTTGTGATTATGAATTAAATCATGATTTAATAATACTTTGCCAATATATCTTAGTAAAAAGAGTTTTTCATACAGATTTCCATCTCAACATGTATTCTTTCATGAATTATTACTTTTAACAATGTCTTTTTCATTTAATATTAAACTTTATGAGTATGAAATGATAGTAAAATTCCACGAAGATATGATGCATGTGAAAATTGTACAATAAATATGATCCCCTCTTTAAGTTCCTGTAAAAAAATGTCGATAAAATTATCAGTCATGTGATTTCACACTCCAATGTCTAGTATAATTTATGAGACTAAAATTAAGTTCAAATTATGTGACATTTAATACATCTATGTTTTGATTTGTATCACAAACCTTAATTATCAAAAACAATTTTGAGAATTTTGTCTTGTACCTATTCTACCATATTTCATCAGGTAATATCTTTGTCAAATTTATACCACATCTATATGATTTTGCACATAAAAATAATATCCAATAAATTCTATGTAGTTTTAAATAAATGGGCAAAAAATACACACAATTACAGTGAATGGTTGCATTTTAAGGAGTTTGTGCATTTCTGAGATACTTAGATACTTTCAGTTTCAAAGGAGATTTCGCAATTGGTCAGGTGACTCCATCAGCCAGTTAAAAGGAGCCTCACATGCTGACTTCAGTTTAGAAAAAACATTTAAGCCAGACAAGGCAATCTCAGATGAGCCTACTACTGCTAGTATTTTATCTCGTTGCTTAGCAATTACCCCCCCCCCCCCAAGAATTTTTCTCAATCGATTTGAATGAAGTGTGTTGATGGACAATAAAAATGAAGGACAGATCTCATACCTGCTGATTGCATGTGCTTGTTTAAACACATTTAAAAATAAATTGTCACCCATCACTAGCCAAAAGACTTAATTCTTAAAGAAGTTTAAACCTTTCTTTAAAATGTGTAAGAAGCATGTGTACACAACATTTTGTTCTTTAGTTATGAATCTTTCTTTATGATTTTAGTTAAAGTTTAGTCTTTGGAGACAAAGTCTTTTTGATTGCATAAATAAACTACTATTATATCAGAATTTACACAATGTGAAACAAACTTTCTATTGTGCAGCTTCAAAGAAAATAATAATTATTATTATACTTAATTTATAAAAAATTTAAATTATAATTTTTTAATATTTTGAGAAATACTATATCTAAAAATAAAAATATTTCCTTTGGCCTTATATTTTAATTTTTAATATAATTGATACTTGAAACCTGATGATGCCTTTACTGATGAAACCATGGTCATGAATAAATGAAGTTCTTGTGAAATGTATAATTATCTTTTTTTCTTCAATTCTATATTTAATTTTTTGCCTTATATTTTAATTTTTTAATATAATTGATACTTGAAACCTGATGATGCCTTTACTGATGAAACCATGGTCATGAATAAATGAAGTTCTTGTGAAATGTACAATTAGTCTTTTTTTCTTCAATTCTATATTTAATATTTTTGCCTACTGTTATTGTATGCCTAAAATCTTATAAATGTATCCAGTAAATTTAATTTCAATAAAAATTAAAAATTTTCCATCCAAATGTAGAAATGACAACTGACATACATAATGAAAAACTGTAAAAATATAAGAAAGAAATAAGTATAAATATTTAATCACAATTGATGAGAAAGTTCCATTTTAACATACTATAAATTTTAACTTGTATTTTATACATCTTATCAATTTTAACTTGTTTTATATTCATTGGTGTGTATATCACATATATATTGCTGTTATCACTTTGTATTTTCTTTTGCCTACTGAAATAATTATCTAACTCACCAATAATACATAAATTCTGCAGGAACAAAAGATGTTTTATAATCCAACATTTGTACAACCCAACAGGCCTAAATATCCTTAACTGAATTTGTTTATGGAAAACCATCTCTGTAAGTTCCAAACAGAAACTATGTAACACAAATCCAGTATTACCAACAAGAAAAAAAAACCTCAGCAAAAACTATAAATAAAATTCCCAGACTTATACTAATTCTCAAAACACACACTATTTGACCTTTAAATGTAGTGTTATCAATGATTTATTCAAAACTTGTACACTGAGAGAAACGTTGTTAGGAATGACTGACTTTGTTTACATCATTTTGAAGCTTAGTTTCTCCACTTTAGAAGAGATGTTACCTAGAGGGCATATGTATTTTTTCAAAAATGAGACACGACATTGGTAGTATATACATGAAAAATCACCCAATAATAAATAACAGCTCAATTTATATTGCCTCCAAAATATTGAGAATATATGTAATTTATATCTTAATTCTACATATTTTATTGATATACACCAATATAAACTAGTAGTTATAGAAGGAAAAACAAAAAAGAAAAGTATGAAGTTCAGATACTTCGAAAACCAATCTAAACATTTTCTCATTTTGTAACATTAACTAAATAATATTTTAATACAGTTTCTTCACTACTTCATAGCACAAAATTATTGAAATAGATTAGAAATGTATTTTGTAATTAAACTTTAAATGCATTCAAAGTGACCTTACGTAACATCAGTCACAAAATGAGAAGAGCAAGACCTTGTTGCTTCCTGATACACTGACTAAAATTTTAGTAACAGCAATATTCAAGGTCTACTATAGGAATAGTTAATGTTTCTGTGATGCACACTCCTGTTCCTTATAAATGGATGGTGCTTATTTAATAAAATACTTTATTTTATAATAATTTCTTCTTTAGGTATAAATCAATCTTATTATCCATGACCCTTTCATGTTTTTATTATGTGGGAAGAAAGACTGCTTTTCATAACCTAGATTAAATTTATTATTCATAATAATCCAATATTCTCATTGATGGTCTATCATATAATGAGTCTATGGGGTATAACAAACATAATCTTTTTGGTACTTGATGTTTTTCTTATCTGTCTTTTGTACAGGCATGAGAAAAAATTTCAAAAACCAATGAGAAGAACTCTCTATATGCACCTTTATTTTTTCTAGTATATGTAAATAAATAATTAATTTTTGAAGATCTTACTTGTGTTTTTACTCTTTAATAGTTATTATTTCATTAACATCTGTTCATTTCATAAACAATTTCTCTAACTTTCCGTTTTTTTTAACAAGGATATCTTTAGGGCAAAAAGTCACTGTGGTATATTTTACCATAAACTTATCGGAAATACATTTTCAGATTATGAAAATGCTAACTTTCAAGATGATACCTCACCTCCTCAGACAGAAAAGAGGACAGGACAAATCCCACATGTGAAGATTAAGGGATGATATCTCTTGATTAATAAGGGATATTAGAGGTCAAAGTAAGAGAGGCGGGATATTTGGCAGAGGAAGGGGAGAAGGTGAAAACCAAGACTGATTGGTCAAAGAGATTTCAACAACAGGGTCCAACAAAGAGTGTCCTGTGTCAAGGCAAGAACCCAAGGGAGGAGATGAAGAGAAGGATAGACATATAGAAAGAGGTGAGACACTGCCTTGCTAAGGTTATTGACAGTCAGAGCCAAGGAATAAGGCACAGGGAACCAGAAGAGAGGAAGCCTGGAGCTGAGAAGAGTGGCATGCCCAATCAAGAGAAACCCAACGAATGACCTGCAGGTGTAAAGACAACTCCACTGGTAGAATGAGAAACAGCTGAGAGGCAGTCCACCACAAAGTTCTTAGCTCACAGCAAATAACAGACGAACCTGATGTAAATGGTGCCAGAAGAGTAGTCCAACATCAGAAAGCAGATGGTTCTGGAATGGATGGCTCTTGTAGTGTCAACGTAAGAAACGACTGTGGAATTGTCAGAGTGGATCCTGACCAAGCACTCCATCAGTAGGGGCACAAATGGGAACATGCCTGATGACCAGCGAGAATTTCAAACATGTAGATGTGGAATAGGAATTACAATCACGTAGATGTGGAATGAACATTCAGCCTGCGTCCAAATGCCAGAAGCCATGTAGTTGTCCATAGATGTGCCTTAATCAGAGAAGGAAGCATCAGAGAATAGATAGGTCCAGTTATAGAGGTGGTGAGGGAATGCTGAAAGTAGTATGGTCACAGTCCAATCATCGAGACAATTCCTTGAGGAGAGGGGAGGTTCATGAGAAAGAACAATGGGTTCACTGGAGGAGGCACATGTGTGCATGCCCCAAAGGAATGAGAGGTTCCAGGGACACTAGAGTCCCCAAAAGTGAAAGAACCCCTCCCACAAATTGAGAATGAGAAGTTCATATTCTGGTGTCTAAATATGCAATAGCTTGCAAGCAATGAGGATAAGGCTAACGTCGGCAGAGACAAGAGATGAATCAAATGCTTAGAAGTACCAAATATGGAGTAGGTGTGAGAAAATACGCAGATTTCATAACAAGTCACCCCAACTGAGCAGCCTCCTGTAAAAGAAAGGGAGGTGTGAGAAAAGGATACCATCTGAGAACAGGCCAAAAGAAGCCAATCATCCAAGATAAGGAATGCACCAACCCTGGGCTTTGAACATGATGAGCAAATGCCCTCACGATACAAATGAATACAGAAGAGGCCAATGCTATATCGAAGGGAAAGCAAGGAAATGGAAAACATGAATCCGATGAACAAAATGTAGAAAACATACAGAAAAAGGGTCAAGATGGATGTTTAAGACATTGACCATGGCCAACTGTAGACTGGGTGAAAAAAGACCATAAATAGGAAGAGGAGTAAAAGGAAGAGAGAGACCGTGGAAAAGAAATGAAAAATGACTGTTCGTAGAAAATGAGACCAACAGCAGGTGAAGAGGAAGAGAAGGGTACCCACAAGGCCCGGAGATGACATGATAGTCACTGACAAGAAGAGCAATGTATTATAAGCCTAGTAGAGGGAGGATGAGAAAAATAGGAAGGCCTGGAACCTGGTATGGGAAAGTGAAAAACAGGAGTAAAGAGCAAGGTCAAGAAAGAAGAAAAACCTAGGAAGATAATGAGGGCAGAAGACATAAGACGTCATTCCAGGTCGTTAGGGAGAAAAGAACACCACTGAAGACATCCGGGTAAAGAAAGGAAACCTAAATAATACCATGTACACAACAAGGAGGAAGGAGTACACTAAAAGGAATGCAGCCCAACCCATTGACTCACAACATTAGGGGAACAAAGGAAGGATAGTGCAGAAAAAGTGGAAAAAGCTCACAAAGAGGAGGGAACAAACATCTCCAGAAAAACCAACCTTTAGCACACTGAAGTGCCTCAGACAAAAGGCAAAGGTAGGTGAGGAAATACAGGAGGGTAGTGAAAAAAAGACACAAATGTGAAAATGAGGAACAGGAGAGTGAAATACAAGGTAAAGGGTTCAATCCCCAAGCTGGCCAAATATATAACAAGGACAGGGAATCAAGAAATGAGAAAAAAGAAAGTGTACAATCTAAGACAAAATATCATGAAAATGAGGGGAACAAGGAATTCTGATGTGAGAAAGGAGCTATTAGAGAATGGATACAGTATAAATCCTAATAATAAGGAAGGAGGAAAGACAAGGTAAACTTCAAGAACTATGGATCACGGAGTAATATGAGAAATAGTAAAGGACACAGAACAAAGATGAGGAAAGGAACATATCTGAGAATGAAATCCACAAAGAGATTGGAATATTAAGGTTATTTCTTGAATGGTAAGACACTACCGGAAACAAATAAGGCAAAAGTCGTGATCCAACAGATCATTCCAAACTGAGGAGAAAGAATTTCAGCCAATGGGATGAAAGTAAGAAGCTCAGTAAGCATGTGGTAATCCACAACATACTGAACAATGGCTGCAGCATCCCTCTCACACAAGAAGCCTCCAGAAGCCACAGTAGAAATAAGGCCTGTGTGTAAATAACATCACTCACACAGGACTAAGTATAAGTCACTGTCATTTAAGAATTCACAATAAAATTTTAAAGCTTTTGAAACAAGAGCCAAAGAAAACAAAAAGTTTCATGAACATTGCAAAATTCAACAAGTTAAACTCAGACGAAAAATTTAAACACATCTGCTCAATACAATGCCAAGGAGAAGAATGAAGTTTTATTGAGTGCAAGTGCATAGGGGGAGTTACTGTGCATGGATGTTGTGTCACATTCCTATTGGTGTAGGGCTTTTTGTAGCATGATGATATCTTATCCTGCACCAGTAGAGTTCACATTGAAACATGTGAAATTAGGTTGGAGTTGCCTCAATGTACTGGCATGCAAATCTCTCAGTGCAGAAATCCAAAGAAAATATAGCTTTTCTGTGTGGGGAGGCGAATTATTGTCTCAGAAAGTCACTGTGGTATGTTTTGTTGAAAAGCATATATTAATATTACTGCATGACCTCAGATAAGACAAAATTACTATTATAGGCTAGCTTATGAAAAAAAATCACAAATAGATTAGTTTTATATAGTTTATACTATATCTTATTTATTGCTTTGTTTTTTAACCCTTTAGATATAACATAATATTAAAAAGTATTATTGTTTACAACTAACCATAAGATTTACAAGTACCTTTCATTAAAACAAGATTAACATTATAAAATCAGAAAAAAAATTAATTAAATTCTAATGTTTATGTGTATAATTTAAAAATGCATAATATTTAGCCCACTGTCTTTTTGAAATCTTTGCTGGAACACTGAAATTAAAGTATTAGTGAATTATATATGAGCCAGAGAGGAGGGAAAGCCTTAATGTGGTATAGGAAATCATAACAATAGGGACAATTTCTTACTGACTTTGGTGGCAGGAACAGCTTTACCCAGTGTGGGAACAGGTCTGTAAAAATTAAGAGAAAAAATAACTGTTCTTAACTTTAAAACAAACTATTTAAAGAAATTACAGTTTTTAAAAGCTTCCTTTATGAAGGTTTAACTGATTACAATAACTTGGAAATTACATAACTGGTGTTCATGTTTTATTACTCATCATTTTATCCCTAGCATGAATTCTTTTCCATAACTGACCAACAGCAAATCATGTGCTATGAAACATTTGAAATGTTGCCTTGAAAAGTTGGTCAACAGATCACATGACTGTCAAAAGCAATTGCCATGCATGCATATATCATAGAAATTTGCAGACAGCAATTTTTTTGAAGTACAGTGAAAACAATCCGATTCATTTAAGTCTAATTACAATCAACTTACTAAAACCCATAAAATGGATGTGGACATATCTGATGGTGTAAGATTTCAATTACTCACAGATGAACAGCTGTAGTCTCATTGCAGAATAGGACAGTAAGAGTACTAAAAACATAATCAAAGTAACAGTAAAGTGTTCAAGGAATACTGCACTGTACTGAGGGTGACTGTGGATAACAAAGTCAGAAATCTTGCCAACCTTTTAGGTAAATTTTATGTTGATAATAGACAGGTGCATACTTTATACATTTATTATAATTTGTAAACACATGAAGGTATAACCATTTTTGTGATCTGATATTCAGTGATCAATCCTCAATTAAGTTAAGCATTTCTCATAAAGAAATAATAATAATCTACATAGGTGGTCCTTACTAACCATGTCACCAATAGTGACATGCAAGATAAATAGGCCTACAAATTGAAATTGTATATATTAAAACACTGTTTAATTTCACAATACTGAAAACAGGGGTGACAGTTGCCAGTGCCTGTTTTTCGAGGATGAAAGCCTCAGGAAACACATTCAGGCCACTGTCATATTATCAGGAAAATGATCCATTGTCCTCATAACCAGTCAACATTTGTATAGTAGTTAATAAGTGTGTTATATCCTTACTACTCCAAACTTGAACTTCATTATATATAATATCACAAATCCTTGTCTCCCCATTTGCTAAACAGATATTATGATCAAATCACAAACATCATACACTAAAGGATTAATAGGAATTCTACTTTGTATGTAAACAACATAAACATCCTTCATCCTTTTTCAACTAATAAAAAGTATTTTTTAAACAAATGTTAACATATAATACTGCCTGCTTTATTAATCTCTGAGGACAGAAGGTAATATTATTACTCTTTTTTCTTTTATTATTAAAGTTGGTTAAGAAAAGTATTGTTTTTATTGGATAACTTATGTTTCAAAATAAAATCTTTTGAAATTCCAAATATAATTATTTGATGCATCTCAATCAACAAACCCCACAAGGGAAGGTAAAAAAATACAGAAAATATTAACAAAAACATGCTATGATTGTATAGTAAATAGAATTTTCCTAATGAAAACAAACATGTTCTTTGTTATTAAGGAATTCAGATGCTAGGATACCAAATGAAAAAATGTTCAAGTATTGAGACACCTCCTCCTTTTGACAAATACACTTACATATCTTTCTTCAAGGTTGACAATCAGATGCATATTATTGTTTTTGGCATTGAATATTGGCATAGAGAATCCATTTTTCATCACCAGTGATAATTCTGTCCAAAAAATGGTTCAGGTGCCAGAAGAGACGAAGCAACGTTCACATGTTGGAAACGATGATCATCGGAGAGTTCATGAGGCACCCAAACACCTTCTTT